CGTCCAATCACGCCCTTTCCGGCCTACACCGCAGCCAAAAATTCGGCATAGGGATTCATATTAAGCATTACCCACTGGTCTTTTCTGCTTTCCTCTTCACTTTTGTGCTATATCATCCGTCATCAGTATTTGAGTCGCACAATTAACCAGTTTTGAACGCGGGTCTTTAAACAAAGCTCTTCTGGGGTTTTACTTACACTGGATTATGGTAATAACAAGCAACCAAAAGAAAATACCTCAAAGAACGAAGACCTGCTATGGATGATCTCATGAACGAGATGGTAAGGGTGCTGCGCCGCTTCAGGTCCTCCATTCGGTGGCATAATCCCACACAAATCTATCGATTTGTTTTGGAAACAATTTCTAAAACGAGTAGCATTGTTTTCATGAAGCTGTATCAAAAAGCAACATTTTTCATAACCTTTGAACCCATAACCATAACCTAACACATAAAATGCCTCTACAATCTTTTAGATAAGGGTGGTTTCCTTGTTCACAAAAAAGGATGAACAAACATTATGCTTCCATGGTTTCACGATTACTAAAGGAAGAAGTATCTGAATGTTGTAAACACAGATACGTTCCCAAAATGCTTATTACACAAGAGCTCAAAGGTCTCAGAATAAGCTCAAAAGCCTCCGATGCGTTTTCCAATAAATCGGTCCTAAGCAACTTTCTCAGCGACCTGGACCTGCTTCTACAAGGGTGTGGCTACCCTAACGGGTACCTGGCCTCGTGGGAAGAACAGGAGTACAAAGAGGTTGAAAAGCCTGATAAGTGTGTTACTGCGGAATAACAACAAAAGTATCCAAAAACAAAAGGATGTTACCACGCTCGAGTAGGAAAACAGTATACGCACTTGCTTTTTAGATACAAGGACTCTATTTCGAAGTCGTTTGATATGACTACTTTGACTCCGCAGATTGCGTTCCGAAAGTAATCAGAAGAACGCTGAGTTATGGGCAAAAGTCAGACCCAAATGGGACAACCCGCATCTCCCGCTGACTGGGCAAGTGGCTATCAGGTGGCTATCCATTACATGGAGCTGAGAGGGCAAGAGCGGTCCCGGTGGCACAATGGTTAACCGCACTCACCATGATAGCGGCATTTGTGGGTTTTAGTCCAGCATAGGGTGAGCTTTTTGCCTACAGATTAGCGTTCTTGTGATGAGTTCCTAGTATGAAACAGTAAAAAAAATATGTCCCACTCACCTCAATAACTAATCTTGCATATACCGAACTGTGGCGTGATGGGCTCATCTCCTTTTCTTTATTTAAAAGCATACGGCATACACCAACGACACCATCTTCCGCATATTTATTTTGGTTGTCAAAATTATTCTGTTCATTATTTTGTCCTGTAGCTAAGTGGGCTAACCCAACTAAGCTATTCATCTGAAATCAGGGAATCCGAAGCGATTTTCATGTAAAACTCGGCGCTCATGTAGTTGAAGGGGAAG